AGTGAAGAAGCCAGAATCTGTTTGCTAAATTTCATTTTATCGACGAAGATATCAAATCGAAGTCCTTGGTACATACACTGTTTTTTTCTGTCGAAGAAGATAAGAAGTTTTTTTGAACGCGGAGTCAAAGAAACTTACTTGAAACGATCGATAACGGAAAAACTTTTTCGTTTCGTGTGAAGAAACGCAGTTGCCCTTTGGCCAATCTAATCGACCACGAGCTCTCCGTCGTAAGCTCAACGTCTCTGTGTACTTTGTCTCGCGTTTCATTCTAATTAGTTGGTATTAGCAAATATTCAAATGGAGATCTGCTATGAGATTGTACTGCATGATATGCAGTTTCAAGTCTTTGAAATCTCAGTCGTGATGCAAATGGAGTTAACCCAAGAAAGAGTCTTCAATTAAAAAAAAAGAAAAGGAAATAAAGAAGACAATCTGAAGCATTCGTAGTAACGTTATGATTAATTGTTAATACACAGAGTCGTATTCGATTAACATTGCAAACGAGATTACGTATACCATTCTATTTTAAAATACGACAAATAAAACGCAACGCACGTTTTAATTAATATTAATGTCAATGAATGTCGAAGAAAAAAAAAAAAAATAAAAAAAATAAAAAGTGATAAACACGTGATAGAGTTTGCACGCGAGAGTTGTGGATTTGTCAAAATTTTGACGAGTCGAGCGGCACTCGATTGTTTGACACGTTTGTTTGTCGGGGTCAGTGGTTTCTCACATTATATCTCGGAAGCCGAAGAGATCGACGATAAGCTTCGCGACGAGTTCACGCTCGTGGCTTGATACACGCAGTTGACGATCTCAATCAGAACCGGTATCGGGCAAAGCCACGAAAGATTCGTCTCTTCTTGTCGAACAATGTTTTTATTGACTGAGCGCGGCAAGTGTTTGCCTTCGCGGTTACGCGTGATTGCACGTCAAACAAGCAATTAGGGTTCTGCTTGTTTTAACATACAGATAATTGTTTCTTAACGCCGGAAGCGTCACAGTGGAGACAACGATCGGAACGACTCAGTCTCGATATAATTTCAGTTACAGTATCATTTCGTGGATTTCAATAATACTTGAAGATTCTTTGCGAAATGAAGAAGATTTTACGTACGGAACGTAAAAATTCCTTCGAAAGCAAGATAAAGAGCGATTTACTGGCTTGATTAAAATATAACCTAACCCAACACAATGTACGTGTATAATATTTGAATTTATTACATCGTTTATTTCTTACGTGTTACTTCTTCGTTTAAAATGTTATTGTTTGTTATCAGTCACTCTGTATCACGAGTTAACATCTATTTTGAAACATAGATTATTAATTGCTCGATGATATACATTTTCTATCCATCATATGATTTGGCATCTTCTCTTTCGAAAATATTCAGGAAGTAAAATTCGACGATGAAGGGAGTAGTGATCTTTCTCAAAGAAAAAAAAAAAAAAATTTACGAGAAAATAAATTGTTCAAGAAAAATATTCACTTTGATAACAACATATGAAATCGTCGTCGACGTACACTGTCGCTCCAAGAAATCTTAGGACAAATACCATGTTTGTACAATTAAAAAAAAACGGTATAATAAGTATAAATTATACGTCATAAATAGAATAATAATTTATATTTATA